ACTCAAATGAAGGTGTAGAACCATCTCAGGGATGATCAGATGAAATGGACAGAGCCTAAGTTAAATATATGAGTGTCACAGCAAAGGGTCTGAATACTTATGACCATGTGATATTTCAGTTTTTCTTTTTTAATAAATCTGCAAAAATGTCAAAAATTCTGTGTTTTTCTGTCAATATGGGGTGCTGTGTGTACATTAATGAGGAAAAAAATGAACTTAAATGATTTTAGCATATGGCTGCAATATAACAAAGAGTGAAACATTTAAGGGGGTCTGAATACTTTCCGTACCCACTGTATATACATCACATAAAGCACTCTGACTTGCCTCTGTGCATCAAAATGTGCCATACAAATATGCTCGCCTTGGTGTGTCTAGTGTTTCCAAACTCCCAGACCACAGGCATGGAGCCAACTGTGCTGCTGGGACCTTTCAATGATTTGGAAATTCTTCAAAAATTAACTTTGAACCAAGTCCAAAAAAACAACAAGTACTTTCTGAAGCCACCGTAGTTTCTGAAAACATTCAAACAGTACCAGTGAAATACTATCTCCTCAGTAATCTGAAGCTGCAAAGTAATAAGAAGTGGTAAACTGAGAATGGCTCCTGTTGTGAAAAACATGTTTTAGTGTTTTTCAGTACAATTGTGATCAGGCAATGCTAGCTTTGGTATGCAGTAAGAAAATGTCGAACATTAGGATGGAATATGGTAGTTTCTTTGGTGGCACAAGGTACATACTAGCTGGATTATTCCTCCTATACAGGCTGAAAAGTCTTTTTAACTCAAATGAACTCTCAGTGTAATTCCACTCCTTGTGGTTGGATCAGCCCCCTTTGTGGTTAGACCGTGCATTAAAAGAGTAGAGGGAAAAGGTCCAAAACCTCATTCTGAATCTAAAACTGTGTACCCCCAAACCTATTAAAACAGCTTTGCCTTGGAGTTGAGTAACCTTCTCACATCACCAAAAGTTATTCATCACAGAAATGTGAAAATGTCAGCAGAAAGAACAGGTTCAGTGCTAACAGACCCTGGTAGTTTCTTTGGTGGCACAAGGTAGCACACAAACATACTAGCTGGATTATTCCTCCTATACAGGCTGAAAAGTCTTTTTAACTCAATAGGAACACAATAGGAACACATACTGTCCTCTTTTATGAACTGGCTGGCACCAAATACAATTGAGCTTGGTATGCTTGTACAGAAAACTGGCAAGACAGAAAGTGAACAGCGCTGTTCACTACATTCTTAATACACTGTCAACTGCAGCTGATCAACAACAAGGAGAAGGATTTATGATTAGATGCGTCATATTCAGTCACAAGCTCCACAAATCTGACTTACACACCAGACATACAATGGGACAGTGACAACCAGCTAAATTTCTGGTTGAAAAAGCTTTATCCATAACACAGAAGTTATCAGGCCTGAAGGGGGCTACTGGACTGACTCTAACAAGATGTCATCAGGATTTAACAGCCTGCCTGTCATAAAGAGTGCAGGTGTGTGTCTGTATGCGTTTTTGTGTCCCACCTGAGTTCATGAACTTCCAGAGTTGATCAACCAGTGCTTCATTACACAGAGCAGAGTCAGTTGTCTTGGTGAATGGTGGATTCTTGCACAGCATACCCAGGATCCTATGTCTGATTGGACAACAAACAAGAAATAGAGACAAGCAAAAGAAGATGAAAATTCACACACTGGCCATTAGTTTGACAGTGGTATAGCCAATTAACAATGACTATGACCTTTGATTAAGTGCAGGTGAGGTTGGTCATTTAAATTTAACCATGCATGACTACCTACCCAGATGGCAAAATACACTAGTGTGATAATAGGGAGATAACAAATCCACACAACTGTGAGGTAAGGTACATCTTAAAAACCACCACATTTACACTTCCGGACTTCCAGTACCAGCACAGTTTCCGATCCATTAAACACAAACACAAAAAAGGTGTTTCCCTACTTTTTCCCTCTAGGCCACATCTAGGTCATAAGCCTGTGCACTTATACTCGTCAATCAGGAACAGATTAACAAAGGGAGTTTCAAATTAGTGAAAACCTACAATGAACTTTATCTTCGATATCAGTGGTGAGATCATCAGACTAACAACACACACTGTATGCTACAGATCCTGTTCATCTTCATGCATTATGGACTTGAACAGTCATCAGACAACTAGTAATCTTTTTCCATCCACACTATTGTTTGATGTAACAGTAAAATAGTATAGAACTAAGAAAACAATTGGGAAGGCAGTGTGAGCGAGGAAAACTCCTTAAAGGGCCCATAACTGATAATACTTACATAGTATTAACGCACAACCACATATCTCCATCACTAAGTAGACAAGCACCACTCGACACTCATACTACGCCCCAGTGGAAGTGACGTCAATAGGCTACATCATGCTTCAACTTACAGGGCTCTGACCTAGGAAAGTAACCACTACAGTATAAACTTTGGGCCTTTTTTACAGGCAGGATGTAATGTGCACAGTGGGAAGGTTGTTAGATGAGCTCATATATGCGTTAGATGTGCTAAGTGTTAGCTAACCTGACATAATGAACTGGGTCATCCTGGGCCATGGTGAGCAGCCACTGCAGCTCTGCAGCACTTCTTTCAACTGGAGGACAAAAAGCACAAGGAAACAAGGATACAAGAACATGTCATTAGAAAAACCAGTCCCAAAATACTGAAGACAGGTCAAAAAACTGACCCAGTTAAGGTGAATGCATTCACCTTAATTGGTTGGAAGATGTGAATTAGCTTTTAGTAACCGGATGTTTTAAACAGACACCAATGTTTGTTGGATGTTCTAAAATGATGCACCAGTATTAAGCTGCAAGTAAAGACAGCAATGGCTGAGCCTTAGTTTATAGGAGCTTCAAGTTATTTAGGTAACCACTAACAAGAACCAAAAGGGAAAAAAAGAGGTAAATAGCTTCTCAGTGAGAAATACTTAGGAAGAAGAATTAAATAAAAGACCTAAGAAACATTAGCCACGGTGAAGCTGGCAGCCTGAGTCAGAGGGACAGCTGCCAGGGAGAGGAAATGTCATGAAAACAACACAAACTACAATGTCTCTGCAGGTTGTAGGCCTCAACATGTCAAGTTCAGGGGAATGGGACAGACATGAGGTCACTCACCTTAACCTTTGACCACCAAAATCTAATCTGTTCCTCCTTGAGTCCAAGTGGACACTTGTGTCAAATTTGAAGAAATTCCCTCAAGCTGTTTCTGACATACTGCATTCACAGTTATGGGCCAGATATAAAGACGGACGACCCGGAAACATAATGTCTCCAGCCGCTGCTATCGCCGGCACAGAGGCATAAAAATACAAGCTGTGGACAAGTCACAATAAGAGTGGAGGAGCGAGAAAGAGAGAGTGTGTCTGTGACAAGGGGGGAGACAGAGAGCGCTGTGAGATGAGCTCTGCCTCACAGACTGTTTCAATAATGAAGCACATCAGAATGTATCGCTCTGTTCTCGAGCTTCTACAGGTAATCAATGTAATTTAATGTTTCCACTTTTAAAACTCCAGGCTGACCAGAGACTTGTGAGCTGGCTCAGTGGGTTTCATAAGAATGCTAAGAATAAAAACAGCAAGCAGACAAATCTCACACCTCTTGTGTAGTCCACAAGGGCCTCCAGAGCAGCAATGCGAACATCTACAAGGTGTCCATACTCAGCGTAGGACTTGAAGAGCGATGGGTCACTGGGAATATGACCATTCTTCTGAAGCTGACTAATCGCTCTCAGACAACTGGAGAGAAGGGGAAGACAGGAAAAATCCAAGGAATTCACAAACGGTGACCAACAGAAAAACTTTCAGCCTTTTCCTCTGAGTCCAGATAATACTAAACATTCTCTTTTTGCTTAAGACATCCTAAATAAATAGTACAATGCTTTTCCCTACTAACTTCAGCTGTCAACATTTACTAAGCTGAAAGTGATGCAGCCTACAGGTGTCACTCTGAAATATGAGAAAAACAAGTTACACAAGAACGATAAACAAAAGGTAAACATGACAAAGATGGACTTGATTTCCTATGAATTCCTATTGATTCTTATAAAATGAGGACATAAAAATCTCATTAACTACAGAAAATTCATAAGGTTTGCATTATACTGTCATTGAAATGTGTCTTCCACACCACACAATCTCAACATAAGTTAAAAACAAGCCATTCTGTAGTTATTCAGTGGCCAGTGTATTTTGCACAGTACTTTGTGTGACATATGAAAGACTAAATGTTGTTTTTATTTTCAGACAGTTTAAGCATTGAGAAATCTTTCAAACATCTGTGTCTTGCAAAACAGGTCATGAGAAAACCATTATCTTGTAAAAATGTGTTTTTATCACTTTGTTGTTCAATTCTTGTGGCAGAAGCTATACATATAAATTTCCTTGTAGAGTCGGGGACTCCTAGCCCTGTGATAGACTGGCGACCTGTCCAGGGTGTACCCTGGCCATCGCCCAACATCAGCTGGGATTGGCTCCATAAGATCAGAAATAAGGGGGTTAGGTGGAAACTAGAGAGAACTGCTCTCTTTTACAGCAATAGGAAGCCATACACCAACATTATTTTATTACGTCAAACTGAGATGAAGACCTGCCAGGAGAAAAATATTTTAGGAGAACATATACATATATAAAAATATACAGGGACACATTTAGCTCTTTACCTGACGGTGATGGTGTTTCTGAAGCTAGGCAGCAGTTTCTCCATATTGAGGAATCGGGTGATCTCCTCCAGAATGAGACGAACATCAGCATTTAAATTGTCCACTGTTCGCACCTCGTTGTTGATGCTGATAGCTGGGGTCAGAGAGTTGGTCAGCGCTTCAATCAGTTCTGCACGGTAATAGTTATCTGAAAACTAAAGACAGGCAAGAGGAAGAGGAAAGGAGGAGCAATTAAATTCCTTCTACAGAAGCTGATCAGTGGAGCCAAGGGTTTACTAACGGTAGTGCTTTGTGTCATATGGGCAGTAACCATAGTGTTGTACTGGACTGATCAGTCAGTTAGTCAGCTAACATTAGCTTCAGACTGAAGGGCTCCCATCATGTCCTGTTTCCCGCAACCAGTAGTTCATGTGGTTACTGGAAGCAGGACATGAGGGGAGGGCAAAGAGCGGGTATGAAAGGCTGGTGAGTCTCACTGGACCCTGTAGCAGCTGAAAAGAAATTAGGCAGAGCATCCATGTCAAACTAGTTCCTGATGTCAATGGACATTTCATGAAAAATGCTGCACATGTTACTATGTGTCTCTTTACTTTGTTTTTCCTGTTGTCATTGTACTTGATGAGGTCAAGTATGAAGTTGAGCACATCTCTTGGACAGAGGTTCTGGACATCTCTTAATAATGCCATGGCAACCGGCATCGTCTGACATGGAAAACAAAGACAAAACAGCAATCAGATGATATGATACAGACATGGAAATAGCACATCATCGGAGCCCAGCCAGTCCTGGAATTTTGAGACTGATACGAATACTTGAGAATTTTAAACATGCAGTGATGTATCACTTGCTAGTTACATTTTAACATAAACATGTTTACTAAAGATGTTCTGAGTGGGACATTTTACAGCTGAAAAATAAACCCAGGGCTCCCTGGTGGACAAAGTATGGAACAGTGCTTACAACACTGCTTACAAACTTAATTGTAAACATATTTGTGGTATTTCACTACTAAAATGTGTCAGCATGCTCTTTGGAGAGCGGCAGCTTCCTCTGTAGTGTCCTGCCATGGATGCCGCGCTGCTTGAGTATTAGACTCATGAACAGAGATGTTAACCAGCTCCAGTGATTCCTCTGAGCCTGCAGCTGTCACTCTGAGCTTCTTTTGTATCTCACTGAACCTTCTGTGTTGTGCCTGTGGAGTCATCTTAGCTGGGTGCCCACTTCTATGGACAGTGGCCACAAAACTAAAACATCTTCATATACATGGACTGATGAATATCTACACCCTGTAACCCTTTACAGCTTGATGCAAATCAGCAGTTCTTGAGAGCAAGTCTGAGATCTCTTGTTTGTGAAGCATCATTCACATCAGCAGATGCCTCTTGTGAATGACAAACTCAAAATGTTTAAGTGTTCTTTGTATTTATTATTTATACAATTGTGTTATGTAAATAATATGTCTGTCGGAAAAAATTTCGTTGTGCTATGCATAAAGACAAAGATTCTTGACTTGACTAAGTCAAAGTAGCTCTAACCTACACCTAGAATGTCTGTACAAATCCCGTCAATGAACCTGACTTTGCTAATTCCCAACTCAAATAGCATTGGTTGATGTCACTAGCCCAGAGGTTCGTATATTTTCCAAACTATAATGAATGTTTGAATGACGCATTCAGTATGGACAAGAATACAACAACTGTTCATAACTGCAACTTGATCTGACCATATTTCAAGAGCAGCCTCTACATAAATAGAGTTCACTTACTTTTTCTTGCCACTCTACATCTGTGATGAGCTACAATCATATGAAAACATCAGCCCTACTTGAAAGGCCAATGGTAAAAACACAACTGTGTTTTAACGCCTGGGGCTGCATTAGTCGGGGGGTGCTGTAGGTGTGATATGGCCACAATATGGCCATGTTGTGATGAGTCAATGTGAGCAGCTTCATTCACGTTTTCAGCCCGGGAGTTTCTATTGTGTTTTGGTTAGTCATGCTGCTAACACAGGCTACTCTACCTTAGCACCAATTCTACCACCAGTGTGTCGGCACTGATAGGTAAAAATACAGTTTAACATCCAGTTCTAATGACAATGAATGTCGTGTCATTATGGTGTATTAACTGTGGCCCAGATTTGACAGTGAATAGCAGTGAATGCTCATAGTAGCAAGGTAAACAAAAGTCTTCTTCCCATGGGCGTCCACGGCCAATACAGCCTTTGATGTCACCATCCGGTGCAGTGAAAGCTGAACCAGATACAACTTTTTTGCCGCACAGGGTTGTGTCGTTTTGCCAGAGCCCCTGCAGTGCTGGCTGCGGTAAATGCAATCTCCCCTAGAACTGAAAGGGCTGCGTTTTTTCACACCGTTCAAACTGAGTCTGAATGCAGCCTAAGGCTTTGAAAGAGATTTCAAGCTTGTTTCCACAGTGGCTTGGTGATGATAAGTGCTACTGAAGCTGTTAGTGAAAACCAGTGTCTGTCTGACAGTGCATTTAGTTTGTATGATGTACCTTTTGCAGGAAGTAGCTTTGGAAGTTGATGAAGTTGTTGGTCTTGACAATGTTGGGGCAGCTCTTACAGCAGAACATTCTGGTGAACAGGGACTTCATAGCTGGCGGGCCCTGCCACGTGCTCACCATAGCATTGGCTATCTGCAAGTTTTCCAAGCACACACAAAACAGATGCACAGTTTTGCAGTCAAACAATAAATTACATCAGTCTGGATCTGATCAAGCTGCCACATGTGGGGGGGGGGGCAGCATCTGTCCTCTATCTGCTGCTGTTACAGTCAGATATTAAAATCGGAAACTAAAATATTCAAGACTTCTAGAAAACGTGAAATGTAAAATGTGCAGAGAAGTACACACTACACCCTCACAAGTTATAACAGTCATTTGACAAATGTTGTGTGGCAAACAAATGACAAGTCGTGATTGTGATAACAATGCATAACAATGTCCTTTTGTCTGTTATAATGTTTGTGGTGAGAAATGAAATACAAACTAGAAGGCAAATGTACACATGAAAAGCACACAAGGTTTCCACAGGTATGAAGACTAGTGGCTCCAGTGACAGTTTTAACAGGATATTGGGGAATTTATGTGAGTGTAGAATTAAAGGGCTAGAGGGTCACTGACACAGGATGTTGTCATTTGGTTAGATAAATAAAGGTGGCTATACACTCTGGAATGTTTTTCTGTGTGTGTATGCACATATTCACCAACACATCTATATTTTTGTGTCAGTGTTTTTAACACATGTGCGCATTTTGCAGTTTTTATGCATTTCCCTCCCATTTTTCAGCCCCATGCTGTTCCTTCTACCTTCCCCCATTTTCTACCTATAACAAACAAGCACATGCCATTCCAACCAATCATAAAGCAGCCAAGTCAATCGGAGGGCTAAAGTCAAGTCATATTTCACTTTGCGGGCAATTTGGATATGTAAGGCTATAATAGCATGTTTCTATGCATGTTCTTGACACATGTGTGTCTGTTTCTCTGTATGAGCTTATTTATCAGTCTCTGTGTATATGCATGTGTAGTAGCTGTAGTGGTAGTAGTTTATACCAAAGGCCTTTACAATTAAACTTAATGAAGAAGTGAAGTGCTGCCATTTCAACCTCAACTCCTTTTATCATGTTGTGAAAATATTGGTAGAGGTGGACCCTGAGTGGTAGAAATCCAGTGGGGTTAAAGTTGGAATAGACCAATCCATAGCACAGAGAATTTCCTGTAGCCACAGAACTGGATAATTCAGTCAACTGATTCCACCTTTGCCAAGCAACAGTCTCTCGATTTTCGACCTATTTCTATTCTAACTTTCTGTATGCTACTTTCAATAGGTTTTATTGCCTAATTTACTGAAGTAAATTAATTCCAGAGCCATTTAAAACAATAATGGTGAAAACCACACTCAATATGAACAGATTGTTTTTACACTAAAGACCACATTAACCACATTCTTGTGACCTCTGACATATTTGATAAGCAAATCATTATTATTATTTTATGAAAATAAAACCAACAAGGCACAAGCTCAAGACCTTACACTGCTGATCCTTGAGGTCACATGGCAACAAGGTGTCATGTGATGTGTTTAAACACCAAAACAGAAGAGTTTCTTTATGGCTGGGTGTCATCACACTCATTATCAGTGTAACCAGAGGTCAAGATGAGCTGAGAGAACATATGTTGCATATTGTTGTGGATACCTGTGACCCCTTAACAGGATAAAACACTGTCAGGCATATTAGGGAAAACTCATGTGTACCTTTTGACAATCGGCTGAAGTACAATAAACACATGCACACACCTTAGCCAAACAGAAGCAGGCACAATAAACACATACACACACCTTAGCCAAACAGAAGCAGGCCTGCATGCGGACTTTGTAGAAACACTGTTCTTGTTCTAGGATGTCAGTCAGTGCCAGTCTGGAGGGGGGAGTTGGGAACTTTTCCAGTGCAGAGATAGCCTCCTCCTAGCAGAGGAAAAGGATAGCAGGACAGACAGTATGAAATGTTTATTAATATGACTTCAACCAAAATGAGATGCTGTTACATCTTCAATTACTTTTGGCTAATACAAAAGAGTAAAAAGAAATATGAAACACTAGAACCCAACAACGTCCGGTCTTTTGCCAATGAGAATGGGATTCAAAATGGAACCAGCTACTGGAACCCAGCCCTTATGAAAGCACACAACAGGAATGCAGTGATATCAGCTGAGGAGGAAAACAGCACTCTTGTCATTTAGCCCACCTGTGCTACTACGTCCCTCTCATAGCGCAGCTGATACTGCCACATGAAGTCAGCCTGCTCAAACTCCACCTTCCTCAGAATGGACATGTCTGGGTCAATCCGGATCCAGAGGAGAGGAGAGTCAGCACTGCAGGAAAAAGAAGACACAGCAACACAGTGAAGGAAGGAAATGTGAACCATCTTAATTCAGCTCACACAGGTTCATGCAGACACCTGTGGAAACTGCTTCCCATCAACCTCTCTGTGCTTTCACACCTAATCTCAACAAGGAGATGAATCAGGTGGCTATAATGGCCAACAGAATATTCTATCTGTTCATTTTAGCTCGAACAGTATTAGACAGTAGTAATGTCTTACTCCATGGCTGACAAATCCATGTCAACCTCCTCTCCATTCATCAGAGGGATCTTCTTTTTCTTGTTTCTATGGAAAGAAACCAACAGTGGCTAGTTATCCAAAAACTAAAGAGTAACATGGGCTACATTCACTTTTCAGAACCATTTTGTGGTTGACATTTCTGTTACAATAGAATATACACAAGGGAACCATAAGAGAAACATCAGAGTCACAATAGAGATGTATCAGGATGAGCCACGGAGCCACCAAGAAAACATCAGTCAGCTTGTGTGTTGGCAGAACTTGTTTTCCTGCTCCACATGATAAAACATTACAGTTTAAGTGACAAAGCAATATATTTTGGTTATTTAAAATGTGACAAGCTTGGCTGCAAACCTGTTGAAACAGAAGAAACAATATACTCCTCTGCATTTATGTCAGTTGTTGGGCTCACTGCAATTACTGAGAGTCATCTTAAGAATCAGACTGTGTGAGTGTGTGTGTGTGTGTGTGTGTGTGTGTGTGTGTGTGTGCGTGCGTATGTGAGAGAGAGAGAAAATATTATTATAATAATATTAGAAAATTCAAATTAAAGTGCTGTTCACAAACATTCATGAACTATCCTCCCATGACTCAAATCATATATATGTAATGGCAGTGGAGCATGATGCTAACGCATTAGCGCCTAAAGAAAAGATACCTTGACGTTACAGAAGAATGGGAGTCTTAAGTCATTAACTTTAGTTAGTAAGAAATTATGATACTAAAATTTGATCTTCCTGATTTTAAGTCACGTGCTTAACATTACTTTTTTACATAGGATATATTAGTCTATAGAATATAATGGTGGGATGTGTAACATAGGCTGCTAATAATGGCTGTTATTTGCATTTGTGTTCAATTCATGTAGCTAAACATGAAACACCTGTAAACAGCTGAGTGTTACACCAATCAGCCACAACATTAAAACTACCTAGTGGTAGATGGGGGTCAGCATGGGCACACTGAACAACCTGTGGATATGCAACCTGCTGTGATGCACTGCGTGTTCTGACACACTGATCATGGCCAGCATTAGATTATTGACATGCTGGCCCTGTCCACCATAACATTAAAACCACCAGGGGGATTTAACGTTGTGTCTGATCGGTGCACAATAATGCAATAAGCACAGAGCTATAGAGTTGTAAAGGTGTGTTCAGGAATATTGATGACACATATGCAAGTTAAGGAGGATGATGGCAAAGCACACTGCCTCAGAGTAAATGTGTTAAGGCCTGTTTTGGTATATTCAAATGTACTTTTAACTGTCACCAGTGACAGTCATGTTTGTACTAGCTCTTCACATTAGCATGGTATGTTTTATGAACAGGTCATTTATTTAAAATAATAAACATTTCAGTGTTTTGTTAACACTTTAAGGACCTGTGCTGCACTTTATAAAAGCTCAGTTCTTGAACAAATAATTTATTCTTGTTTAATAGTGTACTGCATAGGATGAGGATGGTTTAATTGGAAGTCATTTTTAATTACATGGAAAATAGACTTCTGTATGTTTATTATATATCCACCTAATCAATTAAACATAGAAATCATCAACAGATTAATCATTAAATAATCACACTAATACTATATGAGCAGTAATTTAGAAAAACCTGCACTAAATACAGTACATGGTATATAACGTAACTATCTCTATGTGAACATAGTCATAATATAACAGCATATTATAATGTTTAACAACACAGTATGTATAAAATATATATATAAAATGCATAGTGAAATATAATAAATACAATATTATGTATACAAAATACAATCTTCACTAATCCTGAGAAACTGAAACCGTGCATCTTGTTGTAGTACCTACCGCCTGCTCTTGGAGTGGCAGGGGATGTCATGCTTGAGGCTGTTCTCCTCTATCTGCAGGTTGTGGTTAAAGGATCCATCTAGCTCTTG